TAGGAATGGAACAAATCCATCCGCCAGGTTGTGATGGTTGAGAGATACAATGGGGCCTAACCCCTAGAAGTGCAAAGAGAAAATAGGACTAATGGGTTGCAGATTATAAACAATCTGCCTCCCAAAAAGACCTTGTATCCTTATGTGAAAAAAGCTACTCTGCAATTATAAATATAAAAGTGGAGCGCAGAGAGCAAAAAACAAAAAACTCTTTATTAATCCCTCTTGGGGGAGAAACACACAGATACTAAACAAACAAGTAATAAAATTAGGATCTAATTGGATAGAATAGACTAGTCCAAAAATAATAGTAATAATAATAATATGGTCAGAAGAAATGCTATAAGTATGTGTGTGGCAGAATTGCCATAAATAGTAGCAAATAAATATGACCAAAAAGGGGGGAGATACTAAATGTAGCAAACTGAAGATCTCTAAATACAAAAGTAAATAAACTCTATAATTAGAACAAAGAGTATATCAAGTGCACAAAAAATATGTGCACAAAGGAAAAAAGGCTGCAGTCTAAGTAGCCAACAATATAAATGTTAAGCAAACTGCCTAAACAGCTGTAGGAGATTTGGGGGGAGGAGTCCCTAATATCATGCTGGTAATAGACTAGTATCTAATCCCACCATAAATAAATGATAGGACAGTCTGAAAACAAAATAGAATCCTAAATTAAAATCATCATCCGCTTTAGTACAGTGCCCAACGCGCGTTTCGGCGAAACAAGTCGCCTTTATCAAGAGCAATTTGCAGACTGAAGGGAGCCTCTTTTTAAATGTGTTTAAAGCTCCACCCGTAAGCATGATGTAACCATTGTTGTCCAATCAGGAAATAGGGGGCGGAGAAAAGTACCAAGCTCAACAGGAGTGAAGCTAATTGTAGATTTAACCCTCACATAACCAAAATATGAATGGAAGCTAGCACATATCTTCTATCTTCATAGAGTGAAGGCACAAAATGTAAAATGTAAATATAGCTAAACAGAAGAGCTGGCGAAAGTAGCGTATAGATGAACATAACGCTACAGGGTAAAACAAATGGAGCCCATTTAGGGAACAATTCCCTAGTAATCATGATAAATATCACAACAGTGGCACTACATGTATGAGTATGTCACACAGTGTAAAACTCATCACATATAGTAAAGATGTAATAATTGAGCACCATGTGTGACTTTGTATGTCTTAATAAACTCGATCATGTAGTAAATATAATGAGCCCAGAGAAAACAACATTAGAGGGATATTCAAAATTATATGAATAGAATAATAAATTGGGGCATAGAAACATAAGCCCCACAGTGTGGTTAAAATAGAAAATAAAGTAAACTCAAAAAATAAAGAGGGAGAATAAATATTGATTCAAAGAGAATTCGTTAAAGTAGAAATCCTGTATTGACTTAAATAGCAAATTGAAAAGTACTCCATTAATGGTAAAATGAAAGGAGAGATGGAGATTGAAAAAATGAATGAATAAATAAATGAATGAATAAATGAATGGAAAGTGAAGTAGTATAATATATCCATATTCACATATCATGTAATGTTAGTGGAAATAACTAATAAGTCGCAAAACTGAAAAGTAGTAGGTAATGGTGGAAATAGATGATATTAATGATGATGGACAGTTTATCAAAACATTACAGTTTTTAAATTTTTAAATGAAGGGGGCAAAAGAAAAACCTTCATTGAGACCTTTTGGGTAAAGTGTTCTAAGTTGATAAATCCAGAGGCTTTCCCGTTGTCTCAGAAATCGGTTATAGTTACCCCTACGTTTATCCTTGCGCACCAATTCCAATCCACAGAACCGGAGTCCCTGCGGATTGCCCGCATGGAAGTCTTTCAGGTGACGACCTATGGGAGTATCAACAGGTAGTTTTGGAGATCTAACATGCTCCTTAAACGGTCTGAAAGTTTTTCCTACATATTGTAGCTTACAGGTGCATGTAAGGAGATAGACTATACCAGCAGTATTGCAATGGAAAAAGGATTTAATCCCAAAAGCCTTTTTACCATCGCTATCCATAATAGACTTAGAGTCACGTTTTGATGTATTTACACGTGACACAATGGCCACATTGGTATGATCCCACTGTAGGGGTGTGTAGCCATGTGCGTGTGGGTGAACGATGGAAATGGCTTGGGACTAAAAGGTTCCTAAGGTTTTTGCCTCTACGTGCCGTCATATCCACTTTTGGCCCTAAGAGCCTTTTAAGGTGAACATCATCCAGCAGACACGGCCAGAATTTTTGGATCTCAAACTTAACAGCCTCCCAGCCTAAATCGTAAGTGGCTATCATCCATGGGGCTTGAGGTTTGATGGAGGTATCCACTATTTTTGGGGATAGTAGAGTGTCTGCCTCTAAGGCCCTTCTATAGGCTTTTTTTTAGGCATTTAGTAGGATAGCCCTTCATTTTGAACTGTTGTCGCAATATGTTAGCTTGAAGCTTAAAATCCTCAACATCGCTGCGGTTCCTATGGGCTCTAAAATATTGCCCCGTCGGAATGCCACGTTTAAGAGATTGGGGATGAAAACTCTCCCAACAAAGGAGACTGTTAGAAGATGTGGGCTTTTTATACAGCGTAGTGGTGATGGAATTACCACTGACCATGATCGTAAGGTCCAAGAAATTAAGTGTATTGCCCCCGAATTCCGAAGTAAAATGTAGGTTAAACTCATTGATATTGAGTAGGGATACAAATTCATCAAAAAATTCTGATGGGGGATGGTTCCATCACCAGAACGAATAGTAGTGGTGACAGAGGGCACCCCTGTCTCGTGCCATTACCTATGGTAAAGGGGGGAGAGTTTTGCCCATTGACTCCAACTGTGGCTGATGGTCCCTTATATAGTGTTCTCACCCATCGTATGTAATTGGGGCCTATTACTATAGTTTCAAGGGTGGTAAATAGGAAGGTCCAGTCTACTCGGTCGAACGCCTTTTCGGCGTCCACCGAGAGAAGTATTGTTGATTCCCTGGTGGTAGAGGCACCATGTATGAGGTTGAGGATTCGGGTGGTATTGTCTCTCGCCTCTCTGCCGGGGATGAATCCTGCTTGGTCCGTATGGACCAGGTCGGGCAGTAGTGTCTTGAGTCGGTTGGCAAGGATTTTTGCAAGTAGTTTAACATCAAGGTTAATCAGGGAGATGGGTCTATAACCACCACACAGGCTCTGGTCCTTGCCGGTTTTGGCAGGATTGTAATCGATGCTTTCAGCATCGGGGGTGGCAATTCTGTATTGGTTAGTAGGCTGTTAAGTACTTCTAGATAGTGAGGGGACAGGATGTGTTGGAAAGATTGGTAGTATCTGGCCGTTAGGCCATCTGGTCCCGGGCTTTTACCCTTAGAGTTTTAATTGCATGTTGCAATTCTTCCAGCTGGACGTGTGAGTCCAAGATGGTTGACTGGTGGGCGTCTATAGTTTTTCGGGTATGGGAGGAGATATGTTTTAATGTCGTGAAGAGGGCTTCTCTGGTGGTCTAGATTATATCGATTACTGTAGTAGTCCCGGAAGGTTTTGGCTATGTCCTCGGTTTTATCTTTGCGTGTACCGTCTTGTGCCTTTATGTGGGATATGTATGTTTTTTGGTGTTTTTCTTTTAGGGCTCTGGCAAGATACTTCCCATTCCTACTGCCATGTGCGTAATATGTCCCCCTTGTTAGAAGTACTGCTCTGTGTGCCTGCATCATAAGGATTTTGCGCAGATCCATTCTTAGTGCTGTTAGTGTGTTATACGCCTCCACTGAGGGGTCGGCTTTATGTTTCATGTCTACTCTAGATATTGCTTCTGTGAGTGATTTGATCTTTGCTTGGCGTTCTTTTTTTATACGTGCTACCCACTTAATCAATATACCTCGGGTGATACCTTTGTGTGCCTCCCATACGCAGGTGTCTGCGGTGTCTTTGTTTTCTAGGAATTATCTAGGGAGGGATTCATTTAGGTAAGTTACTCTAGGATCATCCAGTAGAGATTCATTCAACCGCCACATGTTGACAGGTGTGCATGTTCCTGTAATGGAAAGTGTGAGGAATACTGGGGCATGGTCTGACCACGTGATGTGGCCTATTGATGCCTCCTTCAACAGGTGTAAATGCCTATGTTCTAGGAAGAACATGTCTAGTCTGGAGTAACTATGTGCAACCTGCGAATAGTAGCTATAGTCCCTCTTCTGTCCTCAGTTTAGGGGTTTGGTTCCCTCTTAAGTGTGTTTCCTGCAAGAAAACAATATCAGCCCGTTGCCTGTCTATTTCTTAGGTTAGTACTGTACGTTTCTCTGGAGTGTTGAGTCCCCTAACATTTAGGGACATTATTTTGAGATCAGCCATTAAAGGATGGGTGGTAGTGATGGTGTGTCATCTCTGGGTGGTGGTGCTTACGCTTGTACCTTTGGGGTTTAGGGGGATGCATGGGGGGTTTCAAACTTGGAATATTATGTACAATTAGCATGTGGGTAACATGCATCTACCAGATGGTGTCTAGCGTGCTAGGCTCTGTGTGAGTCCTGCGTGCTCTCTGCGACACCTCTTGGGGGGTTACGGGGTCTTGGGTGTCCAGAACATATGGCCTGTAATCTGGAATGTAAACTTATCGTTCCAAAGGCGTTTCTAACTATACGGCCTATGTTATCTTATGTTAACTTGTAGTAAATTTTGAAATGTGAGTTTCTGTCCCCTAGTTTCACGCAGCCAAGGCCCGGTCCCTAAAGGGGGTTCAGGCGGTGGCTGCGCGGAAGGCAGTTTAAATATACAATACGGTAAACAATATGTAAGTCACGACAAATGGCATAAAACTTTCAGTTATAAAAGAAAGAGCATCTAGATGCTTCAAAAGTCAGTTTTACGTAATAAAGGATATATTGGGTCCCTCAGGTGGGTCTGCTTGTAGCGCTTCTGGGAGTTGTAACCTGTTCATCGCTCGATGGGATACGCCTTCTACGCTTTTTCGGAGTTCTTTGCCATTTATTTCTCTGAAAAGCGTGTGATATCTGTCACAATGGTAGCCCAGTCCAGTCCTCCACTGTGTCCTTTGGGAGTTTTAGGGCTTGCTGGAAGGCCTGGACATCTGTAGGTGTTGAGATAGAGTACGTTGTCCCTTGCTGAGTGACCACTAGAGCGAAGGGATATACCCATCTGTATCTAATGTTCATGTCTGATAGGGCTGCTGTTATGGGTTGAAGTGCTCTCCTCGCTATGAGAGTTGATTGTGTCAAGTCTTGAAAGATCAACACTTGATGGTCTCCATGTTTAATGTTTCTGAGGCGTCTGGCTTTTTGCAGAATTGCTTCTTTGAGCGGGAAATGGTGGATTTTACAAATAATATCCCTCGTTGTGTCCTGAGATAATGCCCGGGGTCTAATCGCTCTATGAGTGCGGTCAAATTTAATGACTGTGTCTAGCGGCCTGCCCAGTATTTTGTTAAAGAGGCCAGTGAGTAGGAGTATAATATCTTCTGTCTCTCCCTCCTGTGTTTCTGGAAGACCCCTTATCCTAAGGTTGTTTCTCCTGCCTCTGTTGTCCAAATCCTCTATTTTCCTTTGCAAGAATAGGATGGCCTCATTGTGGGTTTGTTGGAGGGATTGTATATTTGTGATATGCAGGGCTCTTGCTTTCCCTTCTTCTTCTAATGTTTGTACCCTGTGGCCTATTTGGCTTACCTCCTTGTGGAGCGATTGTATTTTGTCCCCAAAGCTCCTCTCCATCTTAGAGAACATCAGTTCCAAGTCTAGTTTAGATGGTAATTGTGAGAGTAGGGGTTTTAGGTTGCTGCCCTCTAAGGAGTTTTCTGAGGTTGCCGGACTGGATGGTGCGCTGTGAGCGGGAGATTTCTCCATCGCCGCCATCTTGGATTTGATCTCCGTCTCCAATTTTTCTCCAAAATACCGTCAGAGAGGTTTTTGACGAGGTAAGTGATGCCGCTGGGGTGGTGTTCGCCTGTGCTCTTGATTTTTTTTGATGCCATGTCGTCTTAGCTGCCGGGGATGCTGCTTATGAGGCCTGTTCTGGACGGAGCTCAGCTCTCATGCGGCCATTCACTCCGGTGTCCAAGCCACGCCCCCCGGAAGTAAAAATTTTGACCGACCGTGCACATGGTCCTATGCCCAAAACAGTTACATGAAATCAGTGCATAACCATCGATAAAGTTCGATATTTTAACCCCTTAAAGACACATGACGTGTGACATGTCATGATTCCCTTTTATTCCAGAGGTTTGGTCCTTAAGGGGTTAATAAAACGAGACAAGCCAGTAAAATAGTATTTTACAGGTTTCCCTGCAGGGCACATAGTCTGTGGGCAGGAGGCTGGCAAGCAGACTCCTCCAGGAGCTCGTGGCAAACTCACATAGGAAGGCGAGTTTGTCCTAGCGTTCAAACGCAACTATGTGAATATTATCAACAATTAAACTATCCTGATCAATTAGGCTTTCATCAAACTCACTTAACTTTAGTGTCCTCTTAAAAGTTTGCAATGACATCCAAATTGGCATCGAACGAGGAGACTTAACTGGAGCTATTTTCCTTGATTATGTCATGGTCTTTGATACGGTAGATCATGGCATTCTTTTGCAAAAACCTAAAAACCCAGGTTTGATTGTCCGCTAACGTGGTTTCGATCATATGTATAGGATCAATTTCCCAGGAGATCAGATTGTTTAGAGAGCCACATTGACTAGTCGATCCAAGTTTTAGTGTAATATTTTAATTGTCGGCTGCTGATACAATAAGTTGTTCAAAGGAACAAATTTCAAGTTTGGTATAAAACTAAGAGCTGCATTAACCAAGTGTGGAA